AATCTCTGCTTTGGAAGGAAACTTTGAAGGAGAACAAGGCTCCACCCAACAGCTGTAATAAGAGAAAGGAGATAAACCTTTCTGCAAAGGCTTCTTTATCTCTGAAAGGAGATAAAGCTCCTGCACAGCTTTTGGAGAGAGTATGACTTGGAGTGACAGAAAAGGGACTGAACAGACTCCCAGCCTGGGAACATGCCCCAAAGGACATTTCCCAGCTCTTTTCCAGGCCTAATGGGTCACCTCCAATCATGCCACTCCCACAGGAGATGAACTCACAAGTTTTAATGAGCTATTACAATCACAATCATGACTTTTGACCAGCAAGTGTGGCCTGGAATCCCTTTAGATTTATCTGCCAGGAACAGCCAGCTGTCAGGAACAGTCAATCCCAGAGAGCCCTGCAGTGACACTGCCACAGCCAGCTCACCCAGATAGTAGATCCTATCGGAATGCGGCCCTTCGGGGTCATTTTTCTTCACAAAGGTGAAGTCATGAGGGGCTTTTGCCATCATGTATCCATGATACTTCCGTGTGTCTGTGAGCAGTTTCCGAAGCTGGCTCCAGGAATGCCTCTCTACATAGAAAGGTTCCAGTTTTGGCTGCTCCTCCCTCGAGACCTGCTCCTCACGACCCGCAGTCTCAAAGATTTCCAGGCCCGGCTGTTCAGTTTCCATGGCTGCTGCCATGTTGCATGTTTCTGGAAAAAACAGAGCAGCAGAGCTTCAGCTCCAGCAAACCCTCGCTGCACACTCCCAACACACCCCACAGCAAAAACCATCCTTTCACATGGGGAATAAAACCCACAGCACAAGGAGGAGAACTAGGAAATATTTTTCTGCTCTGGAAAACAGGCTGGCACCACCCAGCCTTTCAGAAGGGACTAAAGCCACAGATTTATTGTTGTGTTTCCCGTGCCCACACATACCAACCACTCATGTTAGGTCACGAAGTGGATAAATTCTTCCCCTTTAAGCTCCCACCTGCTTCTTTCCCTCCAAGACCTCCACAAATCACCTCACTGCACTGATACCAGAGGAGGGGATCATTAGGAGAGCAGCAAGAGCTGGGACACACAACTGCTCAGAAGAAATAACACTGGTGGCTGATCTGGAACCATCAGGACACACAACACGCTTAGGCAGCTCGTCCTTATTCCCATTATTCTCCCATAACTTCTTGGGTTTGTTTGTATCTCCTTTCAGACTAAGTTCAGAAGGGTCTAGCAGTGATCACCACTATTACATTGTCCCAATTACAAATACCAGAGGAGGACACAGTGAAAAAAGCATTCCCCAAACAGATTTATCTGCAACACAAGCCTTATCTGCCCAACAGGCTGTTAATTCAGCACATATCTCTTCCTGCAGGGCTTTACAAAGTGTATCTGAGCTGAAATTGTCAGCCCAGACGTCTGGCAAGAGGAAACCAAGTCCTCCCACTGTAAATCCCAGAGCTGAGGGCAGCTCCAAAAGGATCTGAGCTATGAACTCCTGTCACAGAGTTCATTCCTGGAGAGCCCAAGGTGCAGGGTTGTCAGTCCTCAAAGGCAGGGAGGGGGTGTCTATATATAGCCTGGAAAGACTGCACAAGTGTTGTGTACGCTGCTGGGGCAGGGCATGCTGGCCTGAGAAAACACTAACACAGCCTAAATAAAGCATTTCCCTCGAGCAAACAGGCACTGAGGACTGCTGGAGCTCAAGGCACAGGCCTGGGCAGCAGGCAGAGCTCTCGGCTGGACTGGCTCCTCCATGGCTCTCCAGAGCAGCTGAGACATCTCCCCAAAGGAGTGAAAAAGATGTGATCTGCACCTTGACACAAACCCATCTTAACACAAATAGCTCAGTTTCACCTTTGGCAACACAAACAAAACAAACACTGGTCTTTCTTCTGCTCACACTATTTACAGCAAAAAAATCCAGAACAAAAGAGCCCTGTCCAAATGGAAGAAGGATCCAAGGCATGCACTGAGCAGTGCTGTGCTCGAGACAACGTCAGGAGCTGACAATGAACCTTCAAACCTGAATTGCAAATTTCGTTTCATCTGAAGAATTCCAACAAAGAAAAAACCTCCTTTCCCCACCTACCCCCAGATGCTGCTATTTCTTAACCCGACCTACTTCTCGCAGGAAAAGGGATAGAAACCGAAGAGCAGTAGACGTTAACGAGCCAATGGCAGTGGGAACGGCCACCCGGCACGGGAATGTCAGCCCGGGGGATGCTCCCGGGGGTTCCTCCATGGCCGGGGCAGG